ATGGCTTTGAAATTATTGATTTAACAACTATTTTCCCATATAGTAGCAGTGAAATTAGCCCAAAAATTCGCATTAGTCAGGAATTCCACGTCCCTAACATTAAACCCGTTATGAAACTACATTAATTCCCTAGAGCACGCTAAAACAACGAAAAAACATTACAAAACGTATAACCAATAGAAGTTAGTCAGAAAACCTTCAAACAAATGTTTGCCTATTAAAAATTATCATAAAAAACTCTCACAAGTAAAAATACACTGAAAATTAATTTACAATTTAATATACCTGTCATCATCTCTTCGGGAGAATCCTCTATCTCGATCACCCATTTCGATACCACCACCGCTTCCACGTACAGGTCCTCCTCCGTCACGCACAATGCGACCGTACTGATCTCGTTGTTCGCCATGGTCTTCTTTAACAACTAATTCGCGCCCATTTATTTCATAGCGATTCATTTTTTCTAAAGCTTTCTCTACGTTATCAGGATCTTTGAATTCGACAATTCCACATCCACGAGCTTTTCCATTCTCATCATGAAACAATTCGACATATTCGACAGATCCCACAATACGCCTGAACAAGTCTTTTAAGTCTTGCCAACGATAGTCGTATGGGATGTTTGAAATATAAACTCGACAATTCCGTCTCTCACGACTGCGATCACGGTTAGCGTTGCCGCCAGAGTTGCTGCTTCCACCTGCACCTCCGCTGCCAAGACCACCAGCGTCAGCATCCGAAAATCTGGATGCACGTGCTCCACGTCCCCGGCGGTCGCGGTCTTTCTCTCGGCTGTCATTCGAGTTATCATTACCCTCAGTTTTCATTTCGACTGTAATATCAAGAATTGAAAATTAATATAAAAAAAAAAATTCCTAGTCGCAAAATTAAAATGGCGGAAAATATTTTCTTCAATAACTAAACACTTCACTTACAAAATTTAAAAATTCCACGTAATTTTCTATTTATTAAATTGTATATATCTCAACGAAGTTTGCAGCCTATTATATCTATTATTTTAGTTTTTGCACAAAAATTGTTTGCGATAAATGTTTCTCAAGAACAACGCCGACAGATAGAGAAAATGAAAAATGGCGGAATATTGAATGCCACCCTAGATTTTGCAGTGTTGATTATCGTGAAAACTCTACCGTGAATAGTAGAGAATATGGAACATAAAAACTAATGATTGTTAACACTTATTTTTCAAAGCGGCTCATTAATATTTTAGGAACAAATTAAAATAGTAAGTACTCAACCAGTTATATTGCAATTTAAAATTAATCTATGAACATGCCGAAGTTAATTATTTAAGTTTATAATTAATTTTTTTTTTAATATTCTAACTGAAGAATATATTTATTGTCAACCCATAAGCAGGGGACATATGCAGAGAACGTTTATAATACTTTATTATACTTTATTGCGTTCTCTGTCATATGATGTACGATCTGTATTTATACGTTCTCTGGCAAAAAATGCGAAACAGCTGTTGTGTTACAATTGTTTCAACAATTAATATACTTTGAAACCAGAAAATGAGCTCGGTTTTGAAAATATTGAATGTGGCAAAAACTGTAAAGACAGTCTGTACGAGTATCTCAAATAAATCATTGACTAATTCATTATTAAACAGGTACAGTAATTGTTAAAATTGCCCTAATTGCAATGGTCTGATTTACATAACCTGATTTTTTTTATTCGCAGAATACAATGTCAGCAAATACAAATATCTCAAAATGCTTTTTTTGTTGATATAAGTGCGCGATCATTCCATTCTAGTAGTCCATGCCTGGACCTGATGCAATTCTTCGATGATCCCAAGAACTGGTCGGAAAATGAAGTAAAGGTTGGTCGCGCATGGAAGCTCGAGGAATTACGTATTAAATCAAATAAAGACCTGCATCAATTGTGGTATGTTCTACTTAAAGAGCGAAACATGCTGCTAACAATGGAACACGAATGTAATGAGAAAATGGAGTTATTTCCTAGTCCTGAGCGTTTAGATAAGGTATATATCGTTTCACGTTTATTTTGAATAAATTCAAAACACTCTATATAGGTTAAAATATCGATGGAAAACTTGGAAACTGTTGTGCGTGAAAGAAATAAGGCCTATCATCTCTTGGAGACTGGTGAAACTGGAGAGCGACCCACTCGGGTGGTATATAATGCACTTGGTTTAAGGCATCTCTATAAGTAAGTTCATTTAATTCGAGTCGATGTTTGTTTACTTGATATAAAATATAATTTTAGATCTTGTGAACATGTGTTACCACCGCATATGAACGTTAAATGGATAAAATCACGTAATATTGGTTTCGGTGGGCGAGCAGTGCGTAAATTCCTATTATTATATCGTGAGAAACTGTATAATATCAAACGAAAGGCCAAGAAGTGCGTTTTTGAGTTTTATATAATTAAGTCAATTTTTCTAAAATATATTTCTTTATGTAGTCGTTCCCGCAATGAAGTTATGATGATGTTGCGACGTAATCCGAATATTGATATTCAAGTTATTCGGAGCAAATATCCAGATGTGGATGTTGATAAACTGTTGAGGGATGATAAAACGCGTGGGCATTTCGTGCCGAAAGTTGATATTTGAGTGTTTTGCAACATCCAAACAATTATTTAAATAAAATTAACACAAAATTTATAATTGCATATTGCATCAGAACATAAAGTTTATTCATCGTCTTGAAAAGTGGTTTTTTTTCCCTGAAAAGATATTATTGTTGGTTTTTGTTTTTGTTTTGCTAACCAAGAAGGATGAAGTCCTGTCAAAGTATTTAGACTGTCATGTTGTGATGATGCGATAATGTGATCAGAACTAGGTTGCAGCACTCCGTCATCTCCAAACGTAATTTTTTTCCCTTTAAAATCTGTTATAGCCGCACTAAATTTTTGCTTTGCCGCCCAAGACGGATGTACAGCTTCCTCCGTATGCTTCTTTTTTCTTCTGTTTGCTGATAAATGTTTTTTATTTTGACTTTCTGTATTCACTACTTTGGAATTAATATTGGTGACTTCCTCATCGTCCTGATCATTATCATCTTCAAATCTAATTTTCTTGCCTTGAAAGGCACTTATTACGTTTCTTTGCTTCTGTTTCGCTACCCAAGAAGGATGCAGGTCTTCCGTTTTGAATTCTTCGCAGGTTTTCCGAATAGATTTTTTTGAAATTCTTTGTCTCGCATTATTTGGTCTAAAAGGATCATAAGATTTTTGATGGTTTTTGTATGTTTCTCTCGACCTTTTTCCTGTATTTTCCAGCGGTTTTTTAGAGATTTGTGGATCAAATACCGTTCCGTTACGAACAACAACAGCAGAGGAACGGTAATTTTTACCACTATCAGTGATAAAAAAGGGATCAATAATGTGTGTCACAATTTCTACCTTATTTTTTTCCATAGCATTGCTACTGCTTAAATTGTAATGAGAGGGAGAATTTAAACTTACTGCCGATTCGTTCGAATTACCCGCTATTGAACTTTTTTTAATTTCCTCTGACTTCGACCAATGTTGATTCTCACTTTCAGATTGATTAACATTAGTCTTCAGAGATGTTTTACAGTTTTTAGTGGTTTGTTGTTCTTCAGACACTTCTTTATGCTCTTTTACTATTGCCTTTTTATTTTTAGTAGGAGGATGTTTATTGTCTATTTCCTCTATTTTCCAGTAACCTAGTGTAGATACATTAGCACCCTCATCATTTCCTTTTATTACTATTTCATTGTTTTGCTCATTAAGGTTTAGTATATCCTGACCACGATTTTGATTTCTCAACCACTCAATACGTTTACGTGCCATAGCTTTTTGTTCTTTTAAAGCTGTACGACTTTTTCGTTTCTTCTCCGTTTTTATTGTCTTAATTTGCTTTTTACTCGCTTGCATTAACTCCTTCTTCCAGATTTTATTTTCCTTTGAAATTCCTAATTTTTCTTTCAAATCTTTTGCAAGTTCTTGCATCAATTTATTGTCACCGACCATAGCCACTGCCATTTCCTCCGCTGAGGATAATCCATTCGTTAAAATAGCTGACGGAGATTTTTCCAGAATTAAAACGTGTTTCATCAAAACGATGCATTTTAATTTCTGGAAAGAAAATCCGACTTTACATATGGAATAAAAACAACAAATTTAAACAATAAACTACCTTCATTTCTTCTAGGCAGAGGACAGCTTTACGGTAACGTTCCTTATTTTTTTCATGTTCAGGATTTTTTTCTAATAGATATTTAAGCTTCTTAATTTTTTGGACCAATTTCTGAATGGTCTTCGACTTTATAAGTTGAATTTTCTTCTTGTTGGTGACAACCTATTGAAATCATTTACATAAGTAATTTATCATATCATAAAACATAAAAAATTTCACGTACCAAGTTATTGAATTCCAATTTATTAACCATTTTAACGATTCTTAAATAATTTATACATTTGCATGCTTTTTAAATATTGTTGTTGCCAGTCGATGGCATAGGTAACTCGATGGATAGTATCGTATACGATCCCAAAACCTATTGTGAACACAACCTTATTGAGTGTTACAAGCTTCAATAGATTTAAAAATTATATTTTTGGATTAGGGTATCTAGAGTAAAATTTCTAGCACAGAATCTATCTCGTGCTAACTTTTTAAAATAGGATATTAAGCTATGAAGAATGGAAATAGTCTCGCAGTGGTTATATTTATTTATTTTTGATTTCCAATATATTGAATATGTGTTTTATTTTCGTTAATTTGGTGCACAAACAATGCATTCCTGTGTAGGCAAAATGGCGACGAAACTGTTAGAAGCAAAACGAAAAACGGGGCGGACAGTGTCTTGTTGATCATTTGTTGAAAAAACGAATATTTCACAGAGAATTTGTTGAAAACATAAACAAATTACTTTGGTTATTTTCCCATCCACTACACCATCCGCATGTGCAGTAAAAGTACGGTAGTGAGTTAACACCTATATCCAAAATATTAGCTAATAATCAACAAATAAAATGAATTTAGAAAATATTGGGAAGAACAAGCATAAGAAATGAAAGTCTATAGAAACATAAATTACTGTGATTTATAGGATGGATATAATTAGTAATGGTGATACTGTAAAGTCAAATTAATATATTATAGTAACCGTTTTCCTGTTCGTGCAATGTTCCTTGTTTTAGTACCTAGCTAATCATTACAGAAAGTTTTTAAGGAGTCGTTCTACAGTGAAGTGATCTGTGGAGAAAACTCCTTGGGTATGAACATGAGTTACTTTGCAAATATATATACTACATATATATATATATATATATCCCGCTGCACTAGTAGTAGTTTCATTATAACTTTGGTTCATACTCGTCTGAATATGAGTCACTCGCAGTGCCGAACATTATAAGAAAACAACAACAAATTAATACATACTTTAATTTTACTGAGTCGTTATGTTTTAATTAATTTAACAGCCAACTTACAACTTTGATGACAGTCCGCATTATAATTTTTAAAAGTTTGTGTAGTTGTACATACATATGTAATTACTAGAACTTTTTTATTTGTTGCAGTTTGCGTTGATATAATAATCTACCATTGGAATTTCGGGACACTGTTGTCTGCTGCGCTTGGAGTTACAGGTATAATAACCATTCCAGAAAAGAAACATTTATCAAAAGAAAACAAAACGGGCTACGACTACATTAAATCCTACGTCCAAACACCAGTCTATTGAAATTTCTACAAACAAGAAGAAAATACAATGACGGAGTACAAATTAGTGGTTGTAGGTGCTGGAGGTGTTGGTAAATCTGCCCTAACAATCCAGTTAATACAAAATCATTTTGTGGATGAATACGACCCCACAATTGAAGATTCTTATAGGAAGCAAGTGGTTATAGGTATGTTGATAATCATATTGTATCAATATTATATATGAATAAGTTAATTAGAAATAATACATATACATATATAATATATAATTCACTTATTTTAATTCCTAATTTGTATTAAAATATTTACTCTCCAGATGGCGAGACGTGTTTATTGGATATTTTAGATACAGCTGGCCAAGAAGAATATTCCGCTATGCGTGATCAATACATGCGAACTGGAGAGGGATTTTTGCTCGTTTTTGCTGTCAATAGTGCGAAATCATTTGAAGACATTGGTGAGAATTTTTTATCCTAATTCCGACTTTTTGACGGCAATAGATAGATTTTCCTCTTATATAAATCGATATTAAATTCAGCAAACCGAGTCCAATTCTATACACGATATACTAAAAATTCTTTATACTCTCAGGTACATATCGAGAGCAAATAAAGCGCGTAAAAGACGCGGAAGAGGTACCAATGGTGCTGGTAGGAAATAAGTGCGATCTGCAAGCCTGGGCTGTTAATATGAACCAAGCCAGAGAGGTAAGCATTGGTTTGAATTAACTTTCTAATACAAATTTAATAAACAAGGAATTAATGTTATATTGAAATATATTTGATACAATAATATTTATCAGGTTGCTAAACAATACGGCATTCCATTTGTTGAGACATCCGCCAAGACACGAATGGGCGTTGATGACGCTTTTTACACATTAGTCCGTGAGATTCGAAAGGATAAAGAGCATAGGGGGAAAAAAGGTCGCAAACATCATAAGCTACCACACCATAAATTCAAATGCGAGTTGCTGTAAATGATCTTATATTAAGTTTAAAAGTGGTTGGATAACCTACACATTCGGACAACCGGACAATTTCAAAAACCAAAACAACAACGAAAACGAACTAAACAGACATTCGATAAGAGAGATAGCCTGTGATCAGGAGGCTGTAGTAGAGGAAACAACAACAATAATAATAATACAGCTAGAACCGGAAAGCAACAAATATAGCACATATTTTTTCATCCCAAAATCAGCATAACATTAGCTATACGCACATAAAAGTGCAAATTTTACAATACGCAAAACCTTACACAGGAGCACAGACGAACTGGGAGAGTATAAAAAAAAAATTAATGGAAAACATAAACCTATCAAAAAAAAATTTTTTTTTGAAAGTAAAAGAAAAACGTTTATTTAATATTTTTATTTTATTTCTGCGCACAATTTTTAATACGTTTCTTGTGTTCTTGAACTGGCATATGACAAAATATGTATTTAATTTCTAATTCAAGGAGTATGTTGATTTATTACTTTTGTTTGTACTGTTTGCTATTTTAATTATGTCTACGTATGCTTTCCATTCGTTGGAAATATTTATTTATATAGTAAAGTAAGATAAAATTTATAACTTTGATAAATATGCAATGACGCGTACCAAATGATCGTGCTGTTTAATGTATTCATAGATTGTATCCTTCTAAATTGTGTTCTTAGGCAAGTGTACAAAACTATCAAAAGTCTGCACATATTAATATAGTTGAAACTAAATCTAAAGCTGCAATCATAATTGACACTAAACAAAAAATTAAAATCGCGATGGTTGGAGCTTTATAAAACCGTTAAAATTTAAACTTTTCTACTATATTAATATGGAAAATACATACATATATGAACACATTCACTTGCCTCCGTTTTAGTGCGTCGTTTCTGTAATACGTGCCTGTGTTTTATGTATGCATGTTAACACATAGAAAAAAAGATTTGGTAATTTATAAAATAAATTTACTGAAAAACATAAAAAGTAATAACTAACATAATGCAAGATGGAGATTATATTAAGTGTACTAGCTGTAACGCACAATAAGCAAATATTGATATTTTTTTTTTTTTGCTATTTGAAACTATTTTCTAATCCGTTTTATACTTTTTGGTGCTGAAGTGAAATCTGCGTGCATATTTTTATAAAAGAAAAATTCTGTTTTATATTTAATCAATTTCTTTTAAAAATATTTTTGTATTTTTATTGTAACTATGAAGGTGGAACTAGGGCAAGAATAGTTAAAAATTGCCGAACAATGTTTCCTACTTCCATTGTAAAATTAACGCATAATGATTGTGAATGTCATCCTCTATACTTTATACATGTAATTTATTATATGCTTACATCATCATATTCTCATTATAATAGGATTAAAATTGCAAAATTAGTAAATATGAATATTGTCACGTACATAAAGGAAAGAACAGTTCATCATTGTCGAATTTCCATAAGAAAACAAACCGAAATCGCCGACTAGTTATCTTAAAGGATAAATATATATTTTATATTTATGAGATTGTATTTGTTGTAAAATGTTATGTAATTTAAAGTAACATTGCCTAAAGTTGCTTCAGGAATCAGAAAAAATTTATCGGATAAAATGAATAATCACCAGGCTTTTGAAACAGCTGGTTGTCGGAAAAATTATATTCTATGTAACAGTTTAAATTCTACGAAGTTTTAAAAAGCGGAAATGAGGAATATTACTTCTAAAAACCGTTCATCTGATTATTTTTTTTGTATATAATATTTACTTGATTTTTTCCGTTTCAATTATTTTAGTAAGTTGCAAGTCTGAATTTAATACAAGACGAATAGTTGATGTTTAAAATGTAAAGTTCATTAATTGTAATTTTTTTTTTTAGTTTTGCTATTGGTGTTAATTTCAGATTTATTTTAGATACAAGACAACTTTTATAACATATGTATATGAATTAAATATTTCATTATGCGTGATCTATGTTTCGATATATGATAACAAGAACTATGAACTAAAAGATAATTAATCGTAAATAAAATAATAAATATGTACCGTATGTAATTGCTTTTGTTGTTACTATAAAATTGTTGCACTCTCACAACATATTACGCCAGAGGATAATGGTTGTTGTTGCTGTAGGGGCAGAACTGTGCCCGAGTTGACCGTCCTAGACCGGATAAAAATCCGGTTCCGTTCATTTTTTGTAGTTTGTTTTTCCGACTAGCATTGGGACCGAAGGAATGAGTAATGGTTGTTCTTACCGAAGTTCATATAGTCATTTCCGAATCGTCTTTAAACAGTTATTTTGGTCTATGTAATTTGTTTGGAGCTGAATATTAAAGAAAACGGTCGATTACCTTGGTTTAAACCGCATGTCCTAATACATTTATATCGTTTTTTCAGCTTGATATTTTCTTAACACATGAAACCCTATAGTTGGGTTTATGTTACACAAACCTCATTTAAGTTTATTATGCTGTTTTTTTATCCCCCTCATAGATAGAATAGCGCCACGGTAAAAACTATAAATCGTAGCTTAGTTTCGAAACACAAAAAGTCAAAAATTAGAAGCTCGTAAAATTTGAATTTTGGCCACCATATATTTTCGGTGAAGCTGGCAATGCTTTGCGAAACATACATCCCACAAAAAGTAAAGGTGGTAAATAATTGATAGAGATAAATAGTAATAGACGGAAAGTGGAGAACATCACTGCATAGTTCGAACTATTTAAAATGTAGAAAAGCCTTTCAAAAGTCTACTAATATATTGTAAAACGCTAAAGGACTTAATAAATAATAAGTGGACAATAAAGTGTGAGTAAAATTCGTTCAGTACGATATAGAGTTTCACAGTTTTGGCAGACTTATGTTAATACGCCTAATCGTCTTTTTTCACTACATAGTGAAAAATTATCGATATGGTCTAAAATTGTGTCAAATTATTAATATTTGTTTTAGTAAGAAAAACAAATTTTAACTCTTTTATATTGACTAAATATTGTGGCGTTGATATGAAAAATTGGAAGAAAGCACATAAATAAGAGAAATGAGAAACCTTCAGCAAAGGTTGAAACTTAACCTAGTGGGGTTTGACAATTGTCCATTTAGAATTGTGAGTTTTCAAAAAATTTTATGTGCATAGAAATTAGAAGAAATTGAAATTGTAACTTTTCGTAATGTTATTAAGTAAAAATTAAAATCTATAAATTAAATAATATAGAGTATAAAGTGTTTTTTATATGAGTTGTATTGTTATCGTACAAATTGATTTCCATTCGGCGCGACGAAACAAAGACCTGGCTCAGCGATGCAGTTATATTCTGTAAATCGTAGTGCATGTTTGTGCCAGAAAAATAATTTAACAAGAAGTGGAAAGGGATTAAACTTAAAGTTTACGTTATGCATACATGTGGTAAATTCCAAAAAAAATGTACGCCCATCTAATTTAAGTCATACTGATATTTGGTTAAAGAATAATCAGAGATATAATGTGTGCAAAGGCAATTATATTATGCCAATAACAATACTGCAGTAGGCTGTTGGTTGTGAGTTTTCATTTTATGCCAATTTTTCTTCTCTCTTCTCTATTCAAAAAGCCAATTTTCTAATACAATATATGAATTTAATACTGGTCATAGTAATATTTTCTTTATATCATATTTATGTTTAATTGTTGTTAATCATAATTCTGCCGCTACAACAACAACAACAACTCCTAAGGGCAATATTGTTATGTACGTCAACACTTTGACTTTACACTTAGTTCGATCAAATTAATATTATAACATTCTAAAAGGCCATGTGCCATTTGAACTTTTTCAATTTATATTAATTTAAGAAGGGGTGTATTCAAATAATTGCTATGTACATAACTGCTGTTGTTGCTCAATTCACATGTAGACCAATGTTACTGCTTTCGTGTTTGCAAGCACAGAAAGCCGATTTCACTAAATATGCACAAGCAACGCTCAATACACGTAAGGGCCCATTAAATCACAATTGTAATGAGAATGGGGAAATGAAAATTTAATCCATGTATTAAATTTTTGCGCCTTACACATAGCATATTTCGAAGGGGTTTTTAATTACATGGCTCTGCACTTAAGTGTAATTAAGTTTTAGATGAATTCTTTGCTACAAGTGATCACAGAAAGTTTGCTAATCTGTTTTTATTAACCTTAAGTAATGAGTTAGTGTTATTAAATCTTTTATATTACCATTAGGATGTCAGTAATACACAAGAATTTATATTGAACGTAGAACTGAAATGACTATGCCAAAAATTTTAGTAAAGTTTGTAAGCTGAAAGCATAAATGAATTGGAAAAATTCTCTAGACTTTTATAAAAGAAGAAACAAATTTAATGTCAATCATGTTTCTAACATTGAACTGGACTTCGTCAAAAACGGCTTGGCGAGTGTGAAATTTGCGTATTTGTTTGGATTACATTTTCGCTTACATACAAATAGACGGAGCGGAACTCAGATAAGAGTTAACGGACATAAAGATAAAAATCGTTCTTTCTTTTGCCTTTAAAATGCACCATTACTATTTAAAACGTCTTTTATCTCTATGTTTATTAACAGCCTATCAGAGTAGGCGTGGTGTTTAAGGAGGCATAAACTCTTATAAGTACACTATTAATAGTTGCCATTTACATAGGATAAATAATTTTGTTTTTGCGAGCATTGCTCTTCGGAGTACATTTGAAAGATATAAACATGTTTTCTTTATAATTTTAATAATTTGTAATTATTTTGAATAATTTATGAAACGGTAAGTGCAGGCAATGTGGTGGTAGTGAGTATTATAATCAAAAAATTCAAAATATAATAAATGTCATATTAGAGCGGTTTCATTTATACTCCGATATTTTAATACTATTTTATTGGCCCCTGTTTCGTGTTTCTTTTCGTTTGCCGATTCAAAAAAAAAGATCTGCGTAAAATTAAATTGGTTTTTTAGTATTTAAACTACCACCAGCATTACCTTTCGCGCAATTCATGTATTTAATTGGCAATATTTCTATTAAGACTTTGGCACATGAATTCAAATAACGAGTGGGAAAACCAAATTGCAAGATGCACCGATCACGAGTACTCACTTCCGCCCAAACATTACCCGCTTACGTCTGCATTTGATAAGTAAGGATGTGTGTACGTTTGAGCAGTGAAAATTAACATGGGTTTTTCTCTTAATTTCTGTTTATCTTTTTCACTACCACAATGCCAGATCTATACCTGCAAACGTAAAGAGAAATGTCAGAAGGAACTCACAAATTTTTGGACTCGGATGGACCATGCCATAATTTGGCGGAGGAGCTATTACGTGAAATGCCAGATATGAAAGACGAGATCGAGCAGGAATTAAAGGATGCATTGTCAAAAAATTATGATAGTAAAATAAAAAACATACAACAAAAATACATGGAGGGAATGGCACTTAAAGAAAAAGTTGGGGACAATTTGTCCAAGCCAGATCTTGAAATAACGGAAGATTTTGAGGAATCAATGGAGTCGGGAGAGGTCGCAAATAACTTACTAACCAAAATAACCATAAAAAGTTGTGAAAATGAAAAGGCGAAAACGGAGATAATGAAAATGGATACAGATTGTCAGGAGAATAATAACGGAGTACGCTCTATCGAAAGTGTGAATAGAGATAATGACGAAAACATTGATCAAAGATCCCAAAATGAATCTGACAACAACACAAATATAGAAACCAATATCCATAAACGTGAGAATGAATGTTCTGAAAGTGATAGTACAATCTTGCAAGACGGTCCAACTGCCAAACAAGCGAAATTAGAGGTTCCTGGCGAAAGGAAGTCAATTATTGAAGTTCATATCTCTAATAAGGGGATGGACAATGAAGAAGATACTGCAGAGTTGGAACGCATACGTAAACTGAAGGAGCAAACTATTATTGAATTGCATAGATTAAAGAGTCAAGAGGATAAACTACTCAGAATCGAGAATATAAACAAGCAATTACAAAAAAATATTGAGCAAAAGCAAGAAAAAAATGGAGCGAATGAGACGGAGGATAATAATGGAAATGATGATGTAACTCTAGAAGAAGAAGAATTTGTAAGTAAAGACATCGATGTCGAGAATAGTGATAATAAAAAACTGACAATAGGAAACACCGATGACAATGATACATATGATAACAACGAAATGAGGAAAAATGCAGATGTTGTAAAAGAGTCTGCAAATGAAGAAATTAAAGCTGCAACGTTAACAGAAATAGCGACGACATCCGCTAAAATCTCGTCTACAGTACTCAATGATAATAGTAATCACTCTAACATGGGCGAACATGAAAATCATACCCCACCAGAAGAACTCACAACCGAAGAAGCTGTTCGCGATCGAGAGTTACGCGCATCGGGTGCGATATTTCTTCAGCATTTACCTTGCTTTAAACTTCAACACAACTCGGAAAATGCCGCTAGAGCAATCTCCAATGACAATGTTGTAGCTGACCATGCCATACCGAGGTGCCGGGAATGTCGACGGCGCAATTCTCAGGGTGGTTCAGACGTTTATTGCCGATTTTATGAATTTCGTCGATTGCAGTACAACAAAATGGGTGAATTAGTTGTTTCTGGCTTCCCCAATCCATATACTGATCCGACTGTCGACGATTTGCGCATATGGCAACCAGATGAGCATAGTGTGCCTACCGCAGGATGGATGGACATCCAAGTAGCTCGCTATATACTGTTACACGCTGGTGACCAATTTTGCTATCTGTGGCAACAGGAGGCTGAGGCCTTGCGTTTACACGAAAACCCGAATAGTATAATCGCCTGGAAGAAGGTGGTACAAGGTCTACGTGAGATATGCGATGTATGCGATACAACACTTTTTAATTTTCATTGGACTTGCGACAAGTGTGGCTTTGGTGTGTGCCTTGATTGTTTCAAAGACCGTAAAGAGCAGCGCAGTTGTCGAAAGAGGCGCACTGGTGATAAAACGCAACGTGGACACGATGAATTCCATTGGATGCTATGTACAGCAACCACGCCTACTCATCAAAAACATGAACTACGTGATCTCATGCTTACACAGATCATAGCTAGTGATGCGTTAAACGTTTTGGGCCGTCTCTTACATGATATTCGTGCCATGTGGCAAGTGCCCCAAATGTGCGGCTGCTTGTTAAGCAAACAGAACCTTTCGCCAGATACTGAACTAGGTATTTTAATACAGGACATGATCAAGGAATCTCAATTAAAGCAGCAGACGAGCGCTTCATCGCTAGCTACTGAAGAGACATTACGTAAGCAGGCGCGAATGGAAGAATTGCATGCTAAAAAGTTGGAGTTTGCACGAGCAAGAGGTATTGATTATGTGCCAGGTCGTGTATGGACCAAGCAAACTTTGGGAAAGGACCCCATTACAACCGCTTTTGATAATTTTAAACATATAAACTTTTTACGGAAAGGTTTGGCAGGCTTGCGTCGATTTTTGCCGCCACGCGCAATGACTTTAACCCATTCGACAATGCTAGCACCTGGTGTACCACATGAATGGTTATGTGACGGCAAGCTACTGCGATTAACGAATGCTATGCATCCCGATAATCGTATACTTTTTCAGGAGGTATGGAAATGTGGTCAGCCCGTTATGATCTCGGAAGTAGCGCGATCACTGAATTTGGACTTATGGCGTCCCGAAGCCTTCTGTAAGGATTTCGGCGACAAACCAAACGATTTGATAAACTGTCTAAATGGCAATTTAGTGCCGAACCAACCCATGCGTTATTTTTGGGAGGGATTTCAATGTATTAAGAAGCGATTGCTAGATGGCAATGGTAAACCGATGTTACTGAAACTGAAAGACTGGCCACCGGGCGATGATTTTGCTGAAATATTACCGACGCGTTTTGCGGATCTCATGACCGGCCTACCCATGCCCGAATACACATTGCGTACCGGCAATTTAAATATCGCTAGCTGCTTGCCGAAGATGTTTGTACCACCCGACTTGGGACCGAAGATGTACAATGCCTACGGCTCTGCATTGCATCCTGACAAAGGCACCACTAATTTGCATTTGGACATTTCTGACGCTGTAAATATAATGGTATATGTAGGCGTGCCACAAGACGCGGATAGTAAACCACAGTTGGTAGCTACACAAAAAGCAATCGCTTTGGGTGGCTGCGATTATTTGACACGCGCTCGATGCCAAAAACCTGACGTCCTCCCGGGCGCATTGTGGCACATTTTCCCTGCTCGAGACGCTGATAAAATCCGCGATCTTCTCAATCGCGTGACAATAGAGAAGGGTTTTCGTCTAGAGCCCGACCACGACCCTATACATGATCAGAATTGGTATTTGGACGATAAATTGCGTGCACGCCTATTCAAGGAATATGGTGTAGAAGGCTATCCTATCGTACAGTGTCTGGGCGACGCAGTGTTCATCCCGGCTGGTGCACCACATCAAGTACAAAATCTCCATAATTGCATAAAAGTAGCAGAGGACTTTGTATCACCAGAGAACATAACACATTGTTATCATTTAACCCATGAATTTCGTCATTTATCACATTCACACACCAATCACGAGGACAAATTGCAGATTAAAAACATAATTTATCATGCCATCAAAGATTGCTGTCATATATTAGTACGCGCTTTGGATCAACGACTTGACGAAGAGTTAGCTAAGGTGGAGGAGCAGCATGCAAAGGCTGAAATGAGCCTCCGTGAAGGAACAGAACTCGAAGCCAAACGAAGCAACAAATAAGATTAATCTTCTTTTTATTAATAACTACTATAAAATTCACAGTTATATTATATTGATATACATAAATTTTTATTGTAGTAATAGATATATACATAAGTAAATACTGTGTAGCTCTACATGTAATTATAAATAAATATCTCAAAATTATTTTTATTAAATCTGTTTTCTTGAGGATGGTTGTGATTTCAATGGTGAATTTTCTAAGTCGATTTAGGATCGAAATACATATGTGCATGTATATATTTTGATATAAGTAATATATATACTTGTTGGCAACCGATCATTTCATACCGTCGGAAATTGGAAGAGAATACGATTCTTTGCCTGGCAAATATTTAGTCAAATTGTTTAAATTTCATCTAGTTCCATTATATAATCAACTTATCTATTAGAAATATCCACTATATATACCTCTGGATGGACTCACATATTTGCATTCTATATATACGCGCTAAAAGATACATACATATGCGTATCTGTGTATTGATAATGCATATATCGAAGCAAGCTTTTATTACTACAGTCTTTTTTATTTGATTTTCCAGAGAAATATCACACGTATTCTGAGTCGCTTTGCTACAATAAGATCTTTATGTCACCATAGGAAAGATGAATGAACGAATTAGCTGTTTAAACGTAAATTATAATTACCATCAAAAGAGGTCAATTAATTAAAACAGCTACATTAGTGCTTAGTGATATTTGCAGTAATTATATAATAGCATAAGGAATTAAGTTTTGATACATTTGAGATAAATTATACGAGACGAAGATGACGGTCGATTTCAACGATTATTTTTGGGTAAGCAATAATTGAAATTATATAACCCTTTTATTTATATAATTTATTGTACTATCTTATCACAAAGGGGGAGAAGAACAATGGGTTTGATGTACTCTACCACAATATGAAATTTGGTTGGGTGGCGAGCAAAGAGCTTTCTGAGTTCTTTCGCGAAAAGTCCAATATTGAAGAACAGAACTCGAAATTAATGGCTAAGTTGGCACACAAAGCCAGTACAGGTACACTGAACAGCACATTTGCCCCCGTCTGGACTATACTACGCACTTCAGCCGAGAAGCTATCCACACTACATCTGCAAATGGTGCAAAAGCTGACGGAGCTTGTGAAGGATGTCGCTAAGTATGCCGATGAATTGCATAAAAAACACAAAACCGTTAAGGAGGAAGAATCACATACCTTGGAATCTGTGCAAGCGATGCAGACATCAACAGCTGCTGTTCAAAAGCTACGTGACCTTTACGCGAGCAAAGTGCTGGAATTGGAAAAGTTACGCAAGGACAATGCCTCACAGAAGGACATCGAAAAAGTCGAAGCAAAATTGCGTAAACTACAAGATGAATATAAAGCGCTACTCGATAAGCATAATCCGATCAAGAATGACTTCGAGCGGCGCATGACACAGACTTGCAAGGTATGTATTAGCATATTGAAAGTTATAAGATTGTATCGAAATACCTTACGATACACACATCTCTACTTTAAAGCGTTTTCAAGACATTGAAGAAGTTCATTTGCGTCAAATGAAGGAGTTCTTATCCACATTTTTGGAGATGTTGCAAAATAATCATGACATGGTTGGACAGGTTGGTATACCTCTCTTTTTAAAGCAATATTAATTATTTCCAAAAAAATGATTGTGAAATAATTTCTCTTCTCAGGTGCATTCGGATTTTAAGCGTCAATTTAATGATATGACCGTTGATAAACTTTTAGAGCAATTTGTGCTAAACAAGTACACTGGCTTGGAGAAACCAGGTTAGTGCCATTTAAATAATATGAAACTCTTTTCATTAACTACAGTTCACTTCAATTCGTAATTGTAGAAGTTCCCGAACTCGAAATCATTCCACTCTCTATACAACAGCAGTCCGTCTCAGCTACGCGCTTAAATCATCCAGGCGGTACTGCTGCGGCTGCTTCTAATTCGAATTCAGCCACAAGCATACAAGGTGCCATATCACGTATTACTAGCGGTAGCATATCAATGGATCAACGTGGCAGTGTTGGTGTCGAGGCCGGTTCTTTAGGCAGTGGTGCTGGCGGTATTGGTGCAGTGGGTGGTAGTGGTAGTGGCAGTAATAGCCTAATAAACGCTGATGACAACATTTTGGGCATGCAGACATCACCACGCGCAACATCACCAATTTTATTGAATACCGCCGCTGATGTTATATCAGGTACTAGCGTAAGCACTACACCAGCAGCAGTGCTGACAAACACATCGGCGAACACTTCCACAGTGCGCAGCAATTTCCTAAATTGGTTTTCTTCAAGCATTCCAAGCAGCAAGCAACAACCAGCAAACTCCAACGCTGGAGCTACTGCTGCAGCAACAACCGCTAATAGCGGTGGTGGGAATTTCGGTACGGATAGCATTGGTACTACCCACACCGGCACAGCCATCATGAAAAATTCCCTAAACTCAGAGCTTCAGTCACTGCAGGATAATAATAATCAAGGTTCATTTATGTCGTCTGCTTTAACACAATTACCAGAACAATGTAACACCACTAACAACACTACTACTATTTCCTCTACTTCTGCTAGTTCTATTATTTATACTACTACAAATAATACTATTACCAACAATACTGTTACGTCACCCACATCCTCCTCCCTAACAAGTAGGTTTATTATGTTATTTCATTCATTTTATTTCTATTATTTTTATTGTTTTTTTGTTTGGTTTTAACAAACTCTTTTAAATTCGAAATTTCTGTTTATTTTTACTATTTCTATTATTTGTCAATGTGGTTTTTGTTATGTGATGTGAAAAATTACTTATTTAATTATTTAGCCGCCAGCAGCTGCCCTTCATTTGTAAATTGAAGCATACTTTGAAATTACTAAAGTGACTACTCGGATAAAATCGTATAGTGACATAGTAATAATGCTGTCAAGTTGAGATTTTTCTACCTTAAAGTATTAGCTTTTCGTTTTACAAATTTTATAGATCATTATAACGCTAATAGTAGGGATTTTTAAGTTACACATACATATAAACATATGTACATCAATATCTTAGAGAATTCGAATTAGAATTGGTTTTCTGTAGTTATAGCATAGGAATTTTAATTATTTATATTTTAGCGACGTTTATGAGTAAGTGCGTGTGTTTGTTGTATAGCTACATATATTGTCAACTGACTCTGAGCTCTGCGTCCGTCGACCGTCTCTGGCCCACAATCAAATATATTTTTGAACTGAAATGCTTGTATTCCCGTTATTAACCAAATCCTAATTCCATTTCTACCTCAAAAACCAAATATGCTTAAATTTAGATCACACATTAGTCGAGCCGCATCTGCAACAACGCGCATCTTCACCAACGCCGACAGGCAGCAGTTCAGCAATGAATCGAAATTACACAGAACCGCTTTCTACATCACTCAATGAACGTTCTAACCATATGCATAGTAATCCGCATTCAGCGTCCATGAGTGGGGCTTCTGTATCAGCAACTAGTGCGGGTGCGTCTGTGGGAAACTCACGCCGCACAACCTCGCTTTTGAATATTTTCACATCAAATTCTCAGGGTGAGAAGGAAAAGAACACAATCAAACTGATATATACACATTTCACATTTTTATTTTATAATATATTTTGTAAATTACTTTTGTACTAGCACTGCAGTTTTGCGTTGGAATGTGGACATTACACACATACATTTTAATACACTGGTCTTCCTTTGGTACTTTTCATTAAGTTTTCCTTTATATATATGTATGTATACACGAACATACATATATATGTATGTTAATGTCTTCTCTTAACTACTTCTCTTTTTATGGCATCTGCCCCGCAAATATTAGATTTCTGTGGGGACTTGGGAATAGCGTTAACTTCCGTTATTTATTTTATCGTTTTTATTTTAATATTTTTTCATTACTATAATTTTTTTTCGAAGTTAGTCATTGTATATTGTTTTATTTTTAATAATTTCCATTTTATTCTTAGTTTTAGCTTAAAATATTCTTTCAAAGCAATAATGTAATTAAAAAAATAGTGTTAGATTTTGCAGTGTGTGGATTTATCGATGAATGCAATACTATATTTTTATAATATTCTTATTCCGTGTATATTCAGTTAGTGAGGAAATAAATAATGTTTCGGTTGAGGTTCGAATTTCTCAGAGAGTTTATTTGCAGGTATTTCACTTTGCACGGCTTTTACTCGTTTTTGTTTATTTTATTTTAACTAAAGCTGTAGCGTTTATACTGGTTTTTGCAATATTCTACTGTCAGCTCAATGCCTCTCTTCTATATATGTATCGTATTTATTTAAAAGCATGCATTCATTTCATTAAAGTCTGCGTTAAGTTTGTCGAACATTATTTACTAATTTTCCTATTGCGATTACTAATTTTTAATGTATGCAAAGTGATGCATAATTTTATATAATGAGGTACATCAAAATTTACTTGCAAATATAAATTTCTAATTTTTTTTTTTTTTTTTTTGTAAAAACACGGCCTTTTCTGAAATATTCATTTAGAAAATGTAAATTTCTTCTACCTCAATTATTAATGGATCCTAACCTCATTTAAAATATGTAATATTTCATACTTCTATATGCACAGTATCTGGTATTTTGCGTAGCCGTCGAGATAAAGCGAAAACTAAAAAGTCTAAAAAGAAGAAAGATGGCGAAGCGGCAGATAACATACAAGAAGAGCAACAGGGAAGGTAATTTCATTTGATAATGATTTATCGGTATTGTTTGGATACTGACGCATCTTTACGTTTACTTAGTGTGGATCGCGGCAACATCTCCTATGATACTGACGATATCAATAGAATGAAAACACAAAATTCCAGCGGCAGCAGTGCCGGAGGATTGGGTTTATCATCTGCTTCAGCACCGGGCAGCGTGGACTCATCGGGCGGTGGTGCCGGTGCTCTTGGCGTAAATATATCGGAAAATATTGGAAGTAGCTCGGCAGGCAATGCTATTAACGCAACAAATAATACAAACAAAAATAGCAGTGCTTCTGGAAATGGCACAGCTAGTGGTGGTGCAGGAGGCATTAAAGCATACGGCGCTAATGAGGTTGACGAAGATGGATACAGCATGCAGCCGCCCAAAGAAATTGCCTGGGACGAAAATCACGATAAAAGTGAGTGAAAGAATTTAACAAGTAAAATTAAACGATATATTTTTTTTTGTTATATTCGCCTAAATTAGCTGGAAGTTTCTACTCTGATTCCGACTCAGATTCAGACAACGATAAGCCAGAAAGACGCATACATGTGAAGATTAAGCCACTGAACAATGGCCAAGCGCCAATGTCCGCAAGTGTAGATGAGTTGCGCGCTACTGTAGAGAATATATCATTGTCGCCCACCAGCGTATTTTCGGTACAAAAACAAATACAATTTATTGCAAAAAGTTATAATGCTTTCAATATGTAAACATATCATTAACACTTATTTACAGACTTTTAATCAACAACACAGCAATCAGCAATTGCAGCAATCTCGTATCGCTTCGCGTCAGCAATCGCCTGAGATATCCAATGCGTCTACACCAACCGCCACGGTGCATCCATATGCACCACTACAAAGTCCTACACTCTCCATGTCGAATAACTCGAGGTGATTTACATTAAACTACTATAATTGGTTCCCCTTTATAAATAAGTACATTCTTCCGCAGATACGCTGACTTAGGCGATATATTTTCTGAGTTGGGTGATGTAAGTGCCTCTGCGCCCGCTTCCGCCACACTTTCGAAATCAAATAGCCGGCAAATACCCACACCAACATCCGCTAACAGTATTGCAATACCAAGACCACCTTCACGTCGCTCCGAAATGGTAATGGCGCCTTCAGTAGCAGTGGCTCGTGGGCGCATTAGTCCATCTCCAGCAATGAATCGCGCAGACAGTGTTGGCAGTTTAGAATTCCGCACTGCTATCGGTGGTATAGGGTCATCGCGTGGTCCATCGCCGCTCACCATTGGCATTTCAGACACGATTCCATTAGCGGTGGCATTCCATGAAATTATACACGCATACTTTAGGTATATACAAAGAAAAACGCTTCTTGCCTTTATGATATTGATATTTTACTCGTTTCGACAGGGGTAGCGATGAATCGCGCTGTCAGGTGAAAATCTCTGGCGATATGATGTTATCCTTTCCAGCTGGGATTGTAGGCCTTCTAGCGAATAATCCTAATCCAGCGAAACTCGGCTTTCGTATCAAGAATGTTCAAAATTTGGAAAATTTACTACCAAATTCAAAATTAGTGCAAATGTGAGTATGTAAAATTTAAAATGGAATTATAATTATAGAAGAGAGCGTCGTCAGTGCGTAGCTAGCAAGCTGAATCAATGTTTTCCAGAGCGCTATATATTATCATCTGGGCACTGCTAACTGAAACATTGCGCAGCACTAATATAAAAAATATTGCTAAACTTTTCATTGTAAAATATTAAACTTACGAACCTTACGTTCTCTAATGCCACTCAATTTAATGCAATTTTATATATAACCTCTTCTTAGCGATCGTAATCAATCGAGCACCTTTAGTACATTATTGGAATTCAATATGCCTGCTTTGACTGCATTGTTGCGCCACCAAGCCGAGCATAATCCCAACGCGTCATACTTTAATGTGGATATATTGAAATACCAAGTGCGCTCTAAGCCTGGTGCGTCATCGTGTCCTTTCCAGTTGGTTTCTTATTGGAAGTGTGAACCTACGTTTACGGCGCTCAAAATTGATTACAAATACAATAACCATGCAATGGCAAACGCATCACCACTACTGAATGTCACACTCTCGGTGCCGGTGAACGGTTTGGTTCGTAACGTGCAATCGAAACCACATTCTGCGTGGTAAGTACAATTCGATAAATAAAACAAATATGAATAATATAAATATGTGTGATTACTATAGGCTAGGTGAATCAAACCGTTTGGTTTGGAATTTCACAGATATCTCCCAAAATTCACAGGATGGCGGGGTCGGTACGCTGCGTGCCCGTCTTGAACTTAACGATGGTCCATCCATTCCAGCCTTATTGACCACACAATTCAATTGTGAGGGCACTACATTATCGGGCATAGAGTTCGAACTGCAAGGCAGCGGTTATCGACTGTCTTTGGTGAAGCGTCGTTTTGTTTCGGGTAAGTTAAGTTTCATACCTAGAGATTAATCTGATTAGATTAATTTCCAAATACCTCTATATTGAACAATATAATTCTCATCTATCTTTTAGGAAAATACGTATGCGAGGGCGATGGCGTTCGCAGTGGTACCACTCCAACGCCACCGTCTGTGGGATCGTCTAGTCCATTTTCAGCGAAATCAAATTAGTTCCAAACTATTTAAAATACTAAAAAGAACCAATAACAATATTAGCAGTAGCAAATGTGTTACAAATACTATGCAAAGTCCAATAAAATGTGAATTTAAATATCAACAACTATTCAAGAATATAACGACAAAACGTATTCTTGTAATTTATAGTATATACAGCTAAATTTACATAGTCACACATTTAAACGCGCTGAGAGTTTCCTGCATGTGTGCAAGTAGAAAAATAGGCTCGTGAATTAGTAAAAATTTGTGAATAAAAACTTGAGACAGAGACCCGAAAATGTCAACACATTATTTATAAGTTATATTGAAAAATAATGACTAAGGAATTTATTAATATGCTTTGCTAATTGTTGTGTGTGGACGAATGCAGGATGCCAAGAAGCAATTGTGGTGAAATATCGAATCTAAAGAACAAAAATTAGCCTTGCTTGTTGTTTTCTTTTTTGATTATGCAAACATTTGTGTAAGTTCATTATTAGAGATGTATGTCTAAGTTTGTACCGAGTATATTGTGTCGAAAACAAATGAAATCGGTTTTTGAATTGGTATTTCATTTTCAATAGTATTCTATTAATATTACGAAAAATATATATGAGTCTATTGTATATCTAACTGGAGAACATTGTACTTTTATGTATTGTATTGTTAAAACCTTATTATTAAAGTGTTTATGTAGATTTTATAAATGTATACATGCATAAACATTTGTACATGCTAATATTACTGTAGAACACTAAGTGTTGATTTTATGTTTATTTTTTAATAGAAAGGAAATAAAATAATAAAACTTCAACAGGAAGCTAAAATTATATGTAAATTGTGAAGAACTTATATTATATGGTACTATAAAATGCCTTTAAAATCTACATTCTGATCAAAATTAAAACTCCATTTTACATTATTTATGCTAGTTTTTCTTTCATACCATAGATATATGGAGATATATAATATATATTTGATATATATTTATGTATATATGCTTTGATAATTTGCATATTTTTCTTTCCCTTCTTTTATCTAATTGAATAAAAATTCTCACTATGGTCATATTTGCTTTACTCATAATCACTTTAAACACTATGTACAATAAACATGAATAAGCTATAACACATATGCATATATAAAAATCTGTTTTCTTTTTGAGTGCTTGAATAATTTACCAAAAGTAACAAATAATACTAATAATAAGGTCCACGTTTCTTATGTTCTTTGCTACAACGGAAATATTTGAAATATGTAAATTATTTGTGGCGTTCGGTCCTCATATGAAACATGTTTACTCCTGCTTGGTAAAGTCAAAAACTTGTAATATTGAAATTAAATTTTTATTTTTTGTAATAAAACTTTTTTTTATATTGTGTAGGAAAAACTTCTATCTGTTCTTTCTTGACATGCCTGGCACACGATATAGGAGTTCCCCATCATCATCATAATACGCGTCCTCTACGCGATAAGTTCCACCCTTGCGCCATACTTTGCGAGGAATATGTATATGATCTTTAACGCGCGTTATTTCAAAGCGTTTTTGATCTTCAGCGCTGATAACAATTTCATTGCATTCATATTTTTCGATTGCATTGATATCAGCGAATGGATTATTATGTGGGGACTTCGAAATTATTCCAGTTCCGCTCGGGTTGTGTAATTTAGAAGTTGATTGCTGTTCAATCGCATCTCGATTAACTGTATGATTTTCGTCATTGGTTAGCTCACTAGAGCAAACTGATAATTCGGTTGGAGATAATTTAAACTTTTTCAGCTCTTGTAGGCGCATTCTCCGTTTGTCGTATACTTTTTGTAGCAAATATGTCTCTTCTTCAGCTGATGTGGCCTTTGGAACTTTCTCCATAATTTGCGAATTTCCCGAAGGGATCTTTGGTGCATCTTCCTTTTTTGCATATTTGTCACAACTTGTAATAATGGAGAGAAATTCTTGTTTTGTTGGTCGCGATAAAGCTGGTTTAGGGGGTAAGCCACTGGAAACTGAAAGTAAGTCTTCTGTTCGTCTCGTGGCAAACGTTTGCAAGTGAGCTTGAAAATCGGGAGGTAATTTCAATAAGTGTGGATCTGAACGGAATTTTTCCCAATTTTGTATAACTACTTCATCGTGTTTGCGTATGCGTTGTTCACTGCGCGCTTGCCATTTTGCGGTTATTATTTTCTTCACGACTTCCGGTGTAGCTGGAAAACTTTCAGCCAAACGATCAGCTGTCCACTCCTCAGGGTCACGTGAATGCAATGTACGCATTTGCTCTTTCTCAGCATAAGTTAGCAAATTCGGCAGCTTCGTCTCATGGAAGTATTTGTGTTTAACCATAATGTGGCGAATTTTTTCACGCTGTTGACTCATTTCGTATTCATATTCACGATGCATATGATTGGTTGTCATAAAATCCGATTCCAAGTTCCCGAACCCTTCAGGATCTTGTTCTAAATGTTCAACACTTTCCATGCTACTGAGCTGATGCCCGATCCCAGGATTAGATCGTCGACCAACACCACGAGCCATACATGTAATAGCCAGGTGTAAGTGTCGAATTTGGTTTTTTGTCAACATTTTATGTTTTAGATAACTCCTTCAAATAAAACTACACAAATGCAAACTTTAATTAAATTTTTAAATGTAATACATAAGTTATTAAATATAGAAATTCCAATGAAACCAACAAAAATTCTGTTTGTACAACACACAGCTGACAAACAGCTGACTTGCCTTTTGTGAATTCTCGTTCTCTGCTTGCCGTTTTCGTTTGAATGTTTCGCCGCCGAATATGAAATTAGTTGCCGCCGCTGTATTAAAATTACTCAGAAAATTTACCGATAAAAATGTGTCCCTTGCTTCAGGAATACTTGTTGAATGCCTGCTGTTTTTTTTTAATTAAAAAATGTAAATATTACATACTTATGCATTTGTTATATCAATATAAATTCATATTCGGGTAACTTTTGCTTTAGGTTTCCAAGATTATTCCGTTTTTGTCAGAAAGCTGACTCGATAAGATCACTGCCACTGATAATAGCGTCAGAACCCACAATAATTTGAGAACCCATAAGGCGCGCTATTAAATTACAAGCAGCAATCTCAGCGTATGTCACTCCACCGAGAACAAAAATAAATAAGTTACGTTTTCTCAGAGGAAATATATCCTTGGAGTCATTCAATTTAATGGAGTTAGCGAACGATTTGGCATTATGTGCTGTGCCATCAAGTGAGTGCATAATTAACTTGTCCACCATACCTACTTTGCTGGAAAATTCTTCCGCGGACTGTGCTTTTAGTAAGCACGAGCAGAGTTGTGCCACAATTGGGATATAAAGATTATTAAACACGTAACTAGCGCAGCTGGGCGAATTTACGACATTACCAACACCAGTATCACTGCTTACGTTAGAGTTGACAGGCGTTGGCTCAGCACCAGTAGTTGAAACCATTAATCTCAGTCTATTAGCATTTGCTTGAAATTCAGTTTGTTGAAATTTGGGTAACGGCAAATTTGAGAGTATTTTCGCAGATGTGTTTCCTCTATCTTCCTCCCACATCATCGGTAACAGCCCAGCTACCGCCAATTGTTGAAAAACAACCAAGTGTTGTTGACCAAAGTAGTTACAATAGTTCCGTACAAATTGTGACAACTCATCGGCATTTATTCCAGCACATATGTGAAATAGGCAAAGCAAACGGAGAGTATTGTATTTTTGACAATTTGTTGTGAGTAGTTCATCGATTTCTGTATGAATTCGTTTGCGCGCTACATTATTAAGTATATCTTCCTCCAAGGATTGCACACGACGAAAGTTACCACCCAACATGTCTATAATTTGTTCGCTGGCGTTAAGGTGTCGCATGACCTTTGCTTTAAGCTCCGTCACCTTTGGTAACTTGCGAGCCACATAGTCGTGCATCTCATCAAGTTTCATATCACCCAATTTTTGAACTTCTAATCCGATAGTTTTTGCTTGTGCGCGTATTTGGCTGCTAGCTTGCGCAAAATGCTTGTACCGATTTTCACCATAAATTTCATCACTCATTGCGTTCATACGTATGCTTGGAAGTTTACACGGCTTCACCTTGCTTACTGGCGGCTTTTCACTTTGTTTTTGCTGATAAGCTCGATGGGGTAGTTGGAAAATTTCTAACATTTGTTTGGAAATCTTATTTGAATGCGTTTCTAACTCGATTTCTGCGGCTCGTCGATTATAAACTTCGAGCAGTAATCCAGCATAAATAGCCGGCGTTAGTAAACTAGATGCATAATCTTTGTCACGATCCATGATAAGAATAGAGGCGAATTCGGTGGACGACTCACTATAATTATCATTACCAGGCTTGTTAAGAGTTTGCAACATTTTTACTAAAGTTGCAGAATGTTCACCAAAAGTGAAAATTATTTCGGGTCGTCCACAAACGATTTGCAGTACTCGGAGAGATTGTGCTATTACTGGTAAAAGAGAGGTATCCTTTCGTAAAAATAGTGTGGAGAAAACCTAAAGGTAAGCACTTACATTATTATACTAACCGACACACAACGAAACCGGAGGTACTCACATTTGGTATTTCCATGCTTAGCACATTTTGATCGAGGCAGATAAAGTCCCAGCTGTATCGATGAAGTTGAACTAAACCGTAAAGGCCTTCCTCTTCCAACAACATTTGGAAATGGGTAAAGCAAGTGGGCACACATATTATATGAAAATTTTTTACTGCGGCATCGAGATCAGTCGGTTCTAGCCGCTCTAATTCGTGTATATGCCTTAAAATCTGTTGAAATGTTTCCAATTTGCTATGTATTAAAAAAATGTGGATTTGATGTTCAGCAGTACGTGAAATAATGTGATCACCATCAAATTTGAAGATTCTTTGTATGCCTTTCAGTTTCAGCCAGGATGCAGCGCAAACATGCTCCAAAGGTTTAATTAGTACTGGCTCAATTATAAGGTCTTTTTTGCCTGGAATAGAACATATGATCGCTTGTAATTTTTCCTGTGCGATAAGTTGGAAGCCCTGCAATTTTTTTTCCAATCCGGCCTCCATTGTTTATATTCGTCCCCTTTATAATTACTACAAAAACTGCGTTGGAAATTTATTGACCATTATTACTGGATCAAACCAAATTATTTTAATTGTTCAACGCTGTGCAGTAATGAAAACATTGCAGACGTGTTTCTGTTGATTTGCAGAGGTTTGCAGAGTTGTCAAAAGCAGCTGTTTCGAAGCTAAATATAAAAGGGAAATATTTTCTAACAATTGGTGTTGCATTGACATTGTATCCAGAAATAAACTCCTTTTCCTAACATTGAGTATTTGTTCAGTTCGCAAAACTGTTTCTTGTGGTGATTGTTAGTTCAATTTCGAATGCGGTTAATCTGATGCACCAACCAGAAGGGAGTAAACTGAAAGAAAGCAGTCATCAATTTATTAATCTGATTTAACCTTTATAATGGAATGGTATACTTTTTTAATACTTTCCAGCATCACCACTGTGTACAGCTGAAATGAAAACTAAAAATGTCATATGCTGCGGCGAATATAAACGGTGCTCATTTGCAAAAAATAGTTTTCTCTCTTTTTCCCCGTCAAAAATGCTCAAATAAAATATTTTATACACGGCGAAAAGCACATTCTCTCACTAAGCACTCAACAACAGACAAGAGAATATCAGAGGAAAGCAGCTGGTGCCCGAAACAAGTGAAGTAAAACAAGTTTTCGATGGAGAAATGTATGTCAAAATTATAGTCAGTCGCTCTGAAAAGGTCTTTGTGTTTGGACAATATTCGCAAATTTCTCGGTGAAAAAATTTCAACGCGTTGCTGTGTTTTTCTCGTTGTACACTCACGTTCAGCTTGAGTTTGATATAATTAATTGATTGCAAAACAAAGTGAGTGCGCGAAGACTACTAGCAGTGAAATTGTGATTAAAATTTAGCAAACAACAATTAACGTGGAAAGCATATAAAGTAAATTCGCTATTGCAGATTGTTGCTAATTAAATATGAAAATTGTTCGGTAATTTTGCGAAATATGCTAGTGTAAATACATAAGATATAAAAGTAAAGCTAAGGTGGAGTTCATCATAATAAATTTCTTAAATATTTGTGAACGGTGATTTTGTGAAGTAGTTTGTGTGTGATTATCGCAAAAAAGAGAGCCATAAAGAGCATAAAAGTTTGACAACGGCCAAAAACGACCATCAACGAATTCTCAGCAGAAAATAAACAAAACAAACGGTTATTGATATTCAAGAAAATACCAAAATATTAATAACCAAAAGGTAAATGCGAATTAAATTTGTTTTATGAAATATCTTCCACTGTATTTATCATATATATTAATATATGAATTTATGTAGTTTGTTCTAAAAATAACTAAACATAAAGTAAATAACTCGTTGAAATGGCAAATGAAATAATTATTATTAAATGCGAATGCGGTAGAAAAGACATTCCCCTTCCGGCAGATTTAGTATTTGCCGCATTCAACATTAAAGTTGTCGTAGTTGCTATATCTTCTCATATTCACCTATTCTACTCAAATGCTTGCTTATTCGTTCATCACGTTTCCATTAACGATGGCTGACGTTGCTTTTCATCACGCCTCGTCCCCACTGCTGGTCAACAAAACAACAATCTCTGCAGCAGCAGCCGTCGTAGTCGCTGTAACAACAGACTGAGTCAAGACTACTAACAAAGATGGTTATTGTTTGCGAGGTGAGGGCGTGTTGTGGATTGGTTTTCGTTTTCCTATTTGTAGTATCTCATAAAATACTCGCATTAACTATGTTGTTCCTTTCAAATGTTGCATTCGTACATCAACAAAAATGACGTTTTAAACTCTCAACACTAAGAGAATGTTGGAAAATTAAGATTTTTATTTATTTGGGACAATCAGCGTCAACGAAAGGCAAAGAATGTGTTTTAAACTGTAATCCTTCGGTGCTGGCACTCTTCTGCATTATATTACCAAATATTTTTAAGGCTACCTGCCAAACATGCAACCTTTGTGGTTGTTTACCATTTTATTACTGTGGCGCCAGACTTACCACTGATTTCGAATAAAAATGGTTAGGTCGATAATGCAATTCATTTGAAGGAAATTGAAAAAAGTGAACTGAAATTTTTTTATAAAATTAGCATATTATGTACATATACATATGTATGGTAGTCACAAAATCATAAAAAATAATTATCAAAAAATATATTGTATGACAAAATATTTGGTAACGCCTTGCTTGAAAATGATATTATTTTTTATCATTTAGCACAGATCAAATATTTGTTTAGTGGGAGTAAGATCGAAAAACTTGATAATTTCGTAGTTAAGATTCGAATAATTGTCACATTTTAGGGCTGCTTCCCCAATCGCTTGTATTGTCTTCAAAATAATTTTTCCTTAAAACCTGCCTAGATATTACTCAATCACTAATTACTTGCTTAGCTATTAATATGCGTGAAAGTGTGCCGAAAACCCAAATGTACTCAAAACCAAATGCTTTCATTTACATTATTTGGCTACTTTCCAAAAGTTGCCGCAGTTCCAACTGAGTTTCCATAGCATTTGGGAGAAGAAAATTTAAYCGAGTTTTGGTTTGTATGTATGTTCATATGTATTTTAATAGTAATATTTGAAATAAATGAAAATTGAAGTCTATATTAGTTTTATGCTTACAACTTCTGTAAGTTCCAAGCTCGCCTACGTTTCTATCTGTACAAGAAAAGTATGTAACTCATAATAAAACGTAGTCGGTGAGCCAATGTCAATGTTCTGATGGATATAGTTTGACTTGTATCCATAGTTGTCATTCATTATATATGTATCGTGTTCATAATGTCAATGCTTTTTCAATGCGCTAGATTCATTGCTGCTCAATTATTCCTTTTGCGGCTGCGTTACTGCCACGAACAAAGTACGAGGTGTGTTCAAAAAGTATCGCGAATTTTGAATTTTCGCGGGTTACGTATATTCGAATTTCGGATTTTTTGTGGCGTTATGTTGGTACTCTCACTTATGCCGACAAGCTCGGCCATTTTGAATGTTCATTTAATTGTTGACAGCTGCTTTGCTTGCACGTGTTTTGGATCGTCTTCGATTTTAACCTATTCAAAAAAAATGGATCAAAGAACCCGTATCAAATTTTGTGTCAAAAACGAAATTAAGTACGCGAATGCATTTCGAATGTTGACTGTGGCATACGGCGAAGCTACCTTGGACCGAAGCAACGTTTATCGGTGGTACAAAATGTTCTCAGAAGGCCGAGAAGATGTGACAAAAATTGGCTTTTGGACCACGATAACGCCCCTGCTCACACATCGTTGCTTGTGCGCGACTTTTTGGCCAAAAACAACACACTAATGATGCCGCAGCCACCGTATTCCCCAGATCTGGCCCCTTTTTCTTGTTCCCTAAACTGAAGAGGCCCATGAAAGGACGAAATTACGCTTCTCTTGACGAGATAAAGACGGCATCGAAGTGCTTCGAAGATTGGAAAAACCGTTGGCACAAGTGTATAATATCTCATGGGGATTWCTTTGAAGGGGACAAAATAAATATTCATGAATAAATAAATAATTTTTGAAAAAACACAAAATTCGTGATACTTTTTGAACACACCTCATACATATAATGAATGTTAAGGTCTGTGAAGCGAAATCAAAGCTAATGGTGTGACAGTAAATTAAATTGACTGCAAGGATTAGAATTTGAAACAAAATTGTGAGATATACATATCTCTTACAGAAAGAACCGACGGCAATCAACGCTATATGAAGTGGTATTTGAAGTACTAGACTGTATAATTCTAACAATATTTTTACGTTTTGATTGCTACATATGTAAATTATGATACAGTGCATAGGTATTTTCCTTCCAAAAACTAATATACCTCTGAACATAACTAATGTCAAAATCATGATAACATTAAATAGCGTGTGTTCTAACTTATTTTAAATAATCTACCAACAAATGAAGTTTTCGAGTTAGTGCTAATTTTATACTTGTTAGCCGCTTCGGAGCGGGCTTTAAGACTCTAAAGTTAAATTTAAAAAAGGATCAATAAAGCGAGTAATTTTGAACAATCCTGAAGATTTCTAAGTTTTCATTGTCTGCGAAGTCTTGGCTACTCTATTTTTAATGCTTGTGCCTATTTATTTGAACTGGAACTAGTTTATGAATATACATATGTATATATGCATATAGCTATTATTATTATACATATGTACATATATATATATACTATTGTATAAACAAACTTAAATAGTAAGTAAAATTTTTGTGCGGTCAACCGCAGATTTTTATGTGATATCCGTTTTACGCTAGTCATGTTGATGAATGCTGGCTTCAAATATTTGTCCATAGGTGCGTAAGTGCTCACATGTTCACGATCATTCTTCAGCGAAAATGAGGTTTTCTACACTTAGAGCATGGTAAATGAACAAATAAGAAATTGAGAGCATTAAAGTTAAGCGATTTCGTTGGTAAGCGTTCAGTTAAATTGTTATTTCAAAGAAAATGTCCGTTGCCTTCTAAGTGACCGCAAAATCTCGCTGTGTGTCAGCCGCCGTTGTAGCAGCACTCTTGCTTTGTGCTCAAAGAAACTGCTTGCTACAAGGGGCGTTTAGTGCTGACGATCCTCCTGGCTGTTTTATTCCTTCCGTTTTCTATAACTAAACAGCACTTCGCAAACATGAATGTAGAAAATAATAAAACGTCTTCGGTGTTCTCGACGCCATTTCTCTGGCTCTAACTGGCCCATATGTTTACAATCTTTCCTTTGCACTTGGGCACTTAAGAGTATGTCGGCTGGTCAACACATGTCTTACAACGGTACAAACACAAGAGCTTTCTCATATAGAGGAGACTTCAAAGCCAGGTTAATGTGTATCATTGTGCGTATTTTTCCTACATTTTCACATACACAGGTACATATGGTACTAAGCGTCACCTTCAAGAGAATGGAAAATGCTGAACTGCGCAAACAGTAGTAGTTACATCAAATAACGCCTCGGTTCGACGCCAATTTAGTAGGGGCTTCTTCATGCAGTTTGCGAAGGTAAACATGTGGTTTTGTCCTGTACAAAGCTTAGCCTCGAAAAGGAAAGTTACATATCCTTATTTGTTGAAGCAACCGAAATCCGAGGGCAATGTGAAGCAATGGCTGCGAGGTATAATATAAACCACTATTCTATACTTAAGTTCATCCTTGAACAACACCCTCACGTTCTTTAATTCGTTTCGTCTTATTATTAGGCAGTCGAAAAAGTCTTTTCATATTTCTAGTCAAACTTCAACTTATTTTTTTATATTTATAGGCTTTAATGAACCAAATATTTACCATTTTGGTCGAGAGACATTATTCCATCAATGTAAAACTTTTCTGGGTCTTCGGCGAAAAGCTACGACAAGTAATTTTAACAAGCTTCTCTTGAAGCAAACTTTACTCCATTTAGGAAGTACTGCGTTGACCGAAACAAATGGTAGTTCGATGGTGGAAAGTCAGGATCCATCAAAACTTTCCAGCCAAGCTCTCCCAGTTTTTGCCGAGTCATCAAAGATGTGTGTCTAGCGTTGTCCTGATGGAAGTCGATGCTCTTTCTGTTGATCAGTTTTGGCTGTTTTCGTTTTTTTTTTCGATTGCTTGCTTCAATCTCATCAGCTGTTGACTGTAAAATCTAGAATAAATTGTTCGTCCAGGCTGGATCAGCTCATAGTGGATGATTCCTTTCCAATCCCACCAAACACTAAGCATAACCTTTCGAGGCGTCAATTTTGGCTTTGAGACCATTTGTTGAGCTTCGCCACGCTGGGACCATGATCTTTTTCGCACATTATTATCGTTTTTGATCCACTTTTCGTCTCCTGTTACCATTCGCTTCAGAAATGGTTCGATTTCATTTTGTTTCAGCAAAGAATCGCAGATGTTAATTCGGTCCATTAAATTTTTCACAGACAATTCTTGTGGCACCCAAACATCGTTCCTCCTTTTGTAGCCAGCCTTTTTTAAATGGTTACGAAAAGACTTTTTCGACTGACCAATATTTTATTCATCAGAATATCTGGAGAACTATTTGGAATTAGATAAAAAAAATCACAAACAAAATATTGAGCGAATATTCCTTCAAGTTTGAAATCAAAAACGCTTCAAGTAGAGTTCTGAAGTGGACTAAGAGCTAATAATTGATTAGGTGGAAAACATTCACTTAAAAGAGTTAGTCAGTCAGTTTCTGTTTTCACTTTAGTCTACTCTCTAAATCTATTAGATTTATGAGAAGTTCCTAG